CTCCTGGAACCTCGTCCTGCAGCAGTCTATCGCCACCCAGTACTGGCCCCTCCCGTTCCCCCTCACGTTGTCCGGGAACCCCGGCAGGTTCGCCACCACCTCCATCCTCCCCTCCCTCTCCCCCTCCACCCACACCTTCATCACCCGGCAGTTCGTCGTCTCCGTGAAGATGATGGACGACTCGTCCCGCGAGAGCTGGATCCCGTTCGGGAATGCCAGACCTTCCAGGACGACGTGTGTCTCTCCCGTTGGCGGGTCGTATCTCAGTATTCTCCCCGTCGATTCTCCTTCCAGCATTATCAGGAAGTGATTCCTGCACGTACGTATACGTACGCCATTAAAATAAAAAACATGTCAAATTTTAACTCCTAAGTCAAAATCAACTTGTGGGGTGCAATTGACGGGGGTAGGGAGTTGTGTTCGGGTCGGGGCAGGGTGGGGGTTACCAGGGGTTAGGGGGTAGGAACCGTCAATTTTACAAACAGGGCACCGGAGCGCCCACGAGTCATCCCATGACATTGCCGGGCAATGTCATGGGAACCTTGGTGCTAATAAATATGAATATGAATTAACGGCAAGTGTGAAACGTGGACTCACACTCGGTTGTATCTCTGGCTAGTGTCAGTGAAGAAGATTGAGCCATTGCTATGGATGTCGAGATCATTGGCAAAGAGTATGGGCTTGCCATGGACGTGTGTGGCTAGAGGAGTGGCGATGCCGCCCTCCGGCCCCACCACCAAGAGCCCATAGTATGCGTCCGCTATGAACAGATCGCCTGTTCTCTTGTGGAACCTCAAGCCCAAGGGGCGCCCGCAACGTGACTCCACCTTCCACTGCTTCGGCGTCGTTGAGTGCACTCCCTTTACACATATCTTCTCAGACCTGTCACAGAGACCAGTGTTAATATTTGATCATGTGAATAATAATAATAAACATGCACACACGAGTATGTGCTAACCAATTGGGTGTGACTAATGCAAAAGTTTCCCAACCGGAGTCGTGGCCCATCCACCGGACAACCCGCCCATCGGCGAGCCCAGCATACGGCCCACGACCCGAGACGTCGAACTCGAGGGACTCAGGCCCAAAAACCTGATCCACAAACTCCAAACTCCCATGCCTGAGCCTGCTCATGTTGTCCCCATGCCAATTCTCCATGACTTCATTGTATGGGGCCATCTCATTCTTCACAGGCCTAAACTTGTTGCCCCCCACTGGACTTAACTCAAAAGGGTCCCCAATAATTATGCTTATTAGCACTGGAAGAAGCATGAACAAAAGCTGCTGGAAAATTACTCTTTTGACCTTTTCCATGTTGATGATGAGTTCTTATGTATGTTTTTTTTTGTTTCTTTTTTGGGTTTGGAGAATGAAGTGAGGTTTGATTTGGTTTGGAATGATGTGATATGAATAAAAATGGCTCAAAGTATAAAAGGAAAGCATGGGTGATTTGTGACATTGGTTTGGGTTAGAAATAGGTTGTCTACTCTTCTTAGTCATGTTTTTGGCATTTTTTTGGTTCTTGATTCATAATCAAACTACACTGCAATTTAATTATTGGACTAGTTAGATTGGTGTTGAGGGTGTTTTATGGTTTGTTTAATGAAATTCAAGAAAGAAAATGTGAGGAAGAAAGTTAGAAGACCGGAAAACGTGAAAAATAAGAGTTAATTTTCATTTATCTCTTAATTAAACGATGTTATTTGCCTATTTCAAGGCAATAATTAAAGTCTATAGTTGATTTACTCCGTAATATTTCATCCATTCCAAAACAACCTTCATGCGTGTAAAATTTTGATACTCTTTAATTATAAATTAAACATAATTTAAATAAAAAAATATTTTTATAAAAATTTAATATATCAAAATTATATTCTAAGATAATCTCATTTATATTACATTTGGATTACAATTAATTATTTTTTGTAATTCGTGGTCAAATGTTTTTGTGTGAGGGAGGTAGTAGTTTATACTAGTAATCCAATTTGACACCAACTCTTTACTGAACATATTCATTCAATTCACACCTTACTCATACGGAGTACTCCGTATTTGCTATCATCAAACTACTCCTAATCGTGGTTAATTATATACTCCACCGTCCCTTAAAATTAGTTACATTGACTTTTTTGATCAAATTATGACACTCAGCTCTTTGATCATGAATTACACAAATAATATATTTAGATATACTTTAAATTATTAAAATTGATTTATTTTAAAATATAATTTTGAAATATCAAATTTTTATAATTTGGAGTATTAATTATTTAAATTTATATTTAATTCCTTTAACAAAAAAATTAAAGTCAAATTCTGACATTTTTTTTTGTTATGGGCATCGTTTCCCTTTTGCACTGAACATTGCTTTTTGGTGTGTTGAGGTTCTTATTCTATGAATAGGTTTTGGGGGTTTGTTTTGTTCTTAAATGTTATCAAATTTTAAGAATGGTTACGTTATAGGAGATATAATATTATGAAATAAATTAGGAATGTAAATACTACTCCCTCCGTCCCGGAA